ACCAAAATCAGCAATAGCCTGCAGATACCTCAGTATTCGTTTCACTGCCTGAAGATGAACCTCACACGGTGCTTGCATGAATTGACAGACCTTGTTTACAGTAAAGGCAATGTCTGGTCTCGTGATGAAAATTTACTGCAAGGCCTCAACAATGCTCCTATAATGAGCTGCATCCTCAACTGGTACTCCAATGTCAACCTCCAGCTTACAGTTTGTGACCATAGGTATAGGAAAACCCTTAGCACCCTCCAATCCGCCTTTAATCAACAGATCACATATGTACTTTTGCTGACTTAAGACAAACTTCGATTCCCAAAAAAAAACTTAAGAGCCCAAGATCCTTTAGTACAAACTGATTGTTAAGGCCATTAATCATATCTTGTACTTCTTCTCCACAGCTTCCTATGATGATGATATCGTCTACATACACTAGTAGATACATGATGCTGCTATAAGTTTCCCTAACAAACAGTGAAGCATCAGACCTTGCTAACACAAAATCCCGAGCCACTAAAAACTCCTTTAGCCTCTCAAACCACACTCGAGGAGCCTGTTTCAGTCCATAAATAACTTTGTTGAGTTTGCAAACCAAATTTCCATCACCTTCCTCATAGTCTGGTGGTTGTGCCATATATACCTCCTCAATTAGAACTCCATTAAGAAAGGCGTTAATTATATCCACTTGCCTCAACTGCCATCCCTTAGCTAGTGCAAGCGAGAGCACAACTCGTACTGTTGCTGGCTTTACCACATGGCTGAAGACTTCATGATAATCGATACTAGGCTGCTGCAGAAACCCCTTGGCTATAAGATGAGCCTTGTACCTTGATATGGATCCATCAGTATTTCGTTTGATTTTGAAAATACACTTACAGTTAATTGCTTTCCTTCCACTTGGGAGGGGAACAAGTGTCCAGGTGTTGTTCTTCACTAGTGCATCAAACTCCGTTTGAGCAGCAGTTCTCCACTCAGGACTCTTCATGGCTTCTCAAATGGTCCTCGATTCTTTATCTGAGCAAGCCACCTGAAACACTTTCGGCTTCCAAATCCCATTTTTGCTTCGAGTTACCATGGGATGAGCATTGGATTGTTCAAGATCAACCTGAAAGTCGACACGTGTGAGAATACTAGGCATTGACTCATTCATAGCAACATCATTATCACCACTCGAAGCAGATGGAACACGTAACTCTCGTACACCAGTTGTCATTCCTTCATCACAAGCAATAACAGGTACTACCGAACCATTACCTGCACACATATTCTCCATAGTATCTGTTGCTTGCGATGAGCCAGGCAGACGCAAGTCATAAGAACAACGATTATGATTATGCACTGGATTGGGCACAATCTCCTCACACCTTCTAGGTCGATCACTGTGCAACTCTCCAGATGACCGTACTACAGGCAGAAAGTTTGTGGAGGAGATAGAGTCACAATTAGACCGACCTTCTCCTCTCGTGCCAGCATAAGGAAAAACTCCTTCATTGAACACAACATGTCATGAGATGAAGATTCTTTCACTATCATCTAAGCATTTGTATCCTTTATGCAAATGACTATATCCAAGAAACATGCACCGTTTTGACCTATAATCTAGCTTATGTTAGTTGAATGGTCTTAACAAAGGAAAGCAGGCACACCCAAAAATCCTAAGCATGGAATAATCAGGAGTTTGCTTGTAGAGAACCTCAAAATGAGACTTGCCACCTAACACTTCAGTTGGTAAACGATTTATTAAATAAACGGCTGAAACAAATGCATGGCTCCAGAAATTTAAGGGTAGTTCAGCCTCAGCTAGCAGTGCTAATCCCACTTCAACAACATGTTTGTTCTTCCTCTCGGCTTTCCCATTTTGTTCAGACGTACTTGGACAGGAAATCCTTTGTTGTATACCATTAGCAAGGAACCAGCCTTTGAGAGCTTGATACTCTCCTCCTTCATCAGTCTGAACGACTCTAACCTTAAAGCCAAATTGAACCTCTACCATCTTGTAGAAATTTAAGAAGCATTGCATAACTTCAGATTTCCTTTTCAGTAGTAAACCCAAGTATGTATACTATGTACATCTATAAAGGACACATAATACGAATAACCATCAGTAGAGATAACAGGTGCTGGACCCCAAACATCTAAAATAATCAATTTAAAAGGTTCCTTGTATTCAGTTAAGGAATTAAAAAAAGACAATTTATGACCCTTGCTTTGTAAACATGTTGTAAATACATGAGACATCTTATTTTCACTAGAACTGACACCACAAGTCTTCATTACAGCTCGAACAGCAGCCATCGAAGAGTGTCCAAGGTGTTTGTGCCACAGATATATTGAACTCGATGCTTTCGAGACATTATTCAATTGCCAACCCGAGCGCCTTGCAGTGTGTGGCAGCAACTGATACAGCCCATCATGCGTGAGCCTCCCTTCCAATAAGATCTCCTGAGTCTGTGTGTCCTTCATAAAACAGTCAAACGGGTGAAACTCTACAAAGACCTTATTATCACGAGTGAACTGTGACACAGACATCAGATTCTTCTTTATGTTTGGTACATGAAGAACATTTTGTAGCAACAAGGGCTTCGATTTACTCATCAGACAGAACTGTCCTATATGTGTAATCTTAACCCCTTCTCCATTTCCCATAAGTAGAGTATTATTACCTGTGTAAGCTGTACTAGAATTGAAGGCAGTCAAATCATTGGTAACATGATGTGTAGCTCCTGTATCTGGATACCAGACGGCATCAGTAGGTGTAACTGAGGTATTGACTGAAGGAACTATGGAAACGAAAGCAGCAGGTGAAGATGACATCGAGGAACCAAAAGGGTTCTTTCTAGCAGAAGAACTAAAAGATAGATCACTCGAGGCTACACTCATATGGGGCATTCCTACTGGATACGCAACCTAAGAGGTGAACAAGTGACCATTGGTAGTATGGTACTGAACCAAGAGATTGCAAGCCAGGAAAGACTGAGTTGACACATGGATGACACAAGAACACATGAGTCTGAGCAAAACCAGAATTCACCAAATGATTATACGCTTGCATGCTGACAGCAGGTTGTTGTTTATCACCCGAGAAGGCACGCGACTGTCTTCAGCCTTCATTTATTGATGTAGTGGAGTCAGGGACCCCAGAATAGTCTCGATCAAACCTATGATAACACTTCTGTACAACGTGGCCAAACTTTCCACACAGTTGACACTGAGGTCGATTAGAACTGTTGAAACGACCACGACCTCTGCCTCAAAAATTATCATTTTGTTGAACCTTTAAGGAGTTTGGTTGTGACTGAGGTGCAGAAGTACTAGTGGGCTTCAATTCATCTTTATCACTAGAATTAACAGTCATATTAGCTGAGCCACTTTCATATAGAAAAAGCTTTTGTCGAGCTTCACAATCAAGAAGCATCTCAGTTAGAACGTTCAATGACAGGGAATCTCGAGAGGCTATAGCAATTATGGACTCAAACTCTATGGAAAAGCCGGCCAAAAGAACATTGACATGTTCTTGCTCAGTCGCTAAACTTCCTGCTGCATTTAGTATATCAAAAATAGACTTGACTTTTGCCAGATACTCACTTACTGTTAAACCAGCCTTCCTTTGTGAGTGAAGGCTATGTCTAAGGGCTGATATCTTTGCACTAGACCTTGCACCAAAAAGTCGTGAAATGGCACTCCAAATAGAAAGAGTTGTCGTGAGACCAGTGAGATGAGGGAGAACTTCTATACTCACAGTGGTTAGGAGCCAAGATGCCAAGAGTTTGTCTTGCTGCCTATATACCACAAAGGTTGGGTTCTCTTCTTCTTGTCCTGAGTAGACACATATTTCAACAGACCATATCCATCAATAATCAACATCACTTGATGCTTCCACAAGAGGTAAGCGCTTTCTGAAAACTTTACAATGTCATGTTTAGGAATGTGTTGAACATTCAAACTAACCGGAGAAGACGCCATGGAAATCAGTCAAGAAAGCACACTGATCAAGAAATCAAGAACGATCTTTGTACCACCTGACCTTCAAGACTCGTAACTACCTTCAGCACCTAACTGTCATCGCGAATGAACTAACTGCATCGAGAAAGAGAAGCGAATAGCGAACAACGAAGAAGGACTCTAGGATTTGGCGACTGATACCATGTTATAATATTGCTCTAAGAACGATGAGCAGTGTAGAGTAAACAAGAAAATGAAAAATAGCTGGAACACAAAACTTCATTCATCTCAACATATTACTCTCAATAATTGAGAGATGTATTTATACAATTGGCTAACACAAATCAAGAAGCTTAACAGCTCATAACCACCTCAACTAACCCTTAACATCCTAACAACATTTAACAGCCTAACAACACATGGAGGATTAGTTAAAACCAACTCATCTCCAGCTCATACACCAACACGGAAATATCTTAGCAAAAAGATAGTGAAATGTATAACATTGATGATTTGACATATACAACATCAATAATATGGTATGTATCACATCATTCAATGAATGACCAAGTACAAATACATCGTCAATTAAATATATTTGAGAATGTTACATTAACAATATGTGTTGACTGTAAGTCAATTAACGGTTTTCATCCAATCGATGTTATTTTACTTAAAAATTAAAATCTTAAGGTTTAGTTTTATCATTATACTGCTTTATACTGCCTAATGAGAAACTGCTGTATATTGTTTTCATTAAAAGGGAAAGAAAACGTGGAACACATGCGTCGGGGGATCCAACGCATCGGGCCCTGGAGCCACGCGTATCGTAGACTCGGACCATTCTCTCCTAATCTCTCTCTCCGCTAACGAACTTGACATGCAAATGACCAATTCCAATTCATAACCAAAGCTTTCATTTTTCTCTCTTCCCCCCACAACTACTCATTCTTTTATTCCTTTCTTACCTTAATGTTTATGCTATAATATCCTTAATTTCCCCCATCTTTTCTTCTAAACAGTTCCATACTGTACTTTGGGTAAATGTTAACGTCCTAACACAAGGAGGGTATGGATAAAACGAAGCTATCCGAATGGGGCGAGAAACTGAAAACGGGCGGAGCTCAAATGAGTAGAATGGTGAGTGGGAAAATGAAAGAAATCCTTCAAGGCCCCACACCCGAATCCAGAATCGTCGATGAGGCCACATTGGACACATTACAAGAACCCAACTGGGGATTGAACATGAAGATATGTGCCATGATCAACAGCCTAGACTTCGAAGCAACCGATATCGTTAGGGCCATCAAGAAGAAGATATCGGCCAAAAACAACGTCACCCAATCGTTGAGCCTTGATTTGTTGGAAGCTTGTACCACGAATTGCGCCAATGTGGCTTCCGAGGTGGCTTCCGAGGGAGTGTTGGAAGAGATGGTGAAGATGATCGAGAATCCGCACACCCATCGAGGAAACAGAGGAAGGGCTTTGCAGTTGATAGGTGTTTGGGGACAGTCCCGGGATCTTGCTCACCTGCCTGTGTTTCACCGAACTTATGTGGTAAAACCCCCTTTTTTCTGTTAAATTGCCTTTCAAATGTGCCAAACACTAATAGCATGTAAGATATCATGCATTTAAAGAGAGTAGTTCTCCAGCATTTTGCTTACCTTTTCCCCTATAAAGCAGAGCTTGAAAGAAAAAAGTGATCCACCGGTAGCCAACGGGAAATGCACCCCTTTGCACTTTACCTTGGAGTCTTGCATGAGTTTGCCTCCCTCGGAAAACTATCCTGTCGATAACACGGAGCCAGACAGCGGTGATTTTACCTATAGTTATGCTAGTCTTTCCGCCGAAGAAAAGAAGGAAGTTTTTGAAGTAACTCGGAACAGCCTTGAGGTGCTTTCTAGCATGTTGAGTAAGGAAACAGAGCCGAAACCTACATTGGTAATTACCCTGCTTTTGGCATGAAATCATGATTTTAACTGTGATTGTGTACTTTGTATTTCACGGTCCTTTCTGCAAGACACATTTATGCTTATGTAGTCATTTGGCATGGCAGTAAATGAAATGTTATTGTATTTTAGCTTTTGTTATATCTTTCCATATGATATTATCAACTTCATCATGAAGCTTTTTGTTCTTCCTATGTAATCTTGAGTGATTGCAGGACGAGCTGACGGAGAGCATGTTTAAGAAGTGCAAGCAGTCACAGCCTGTTATTCAGATGATCATAGAAAGCACTACTGATGACGATGGAGTTCTCTTCGAGGCACTGAATCTACATGATGAGCTTCATCAGGTCATCTCCAAATTTGAGGAACTGGAAGCTGACTCAAAGTCCGAAAGACAGCTTAACGAAAACTCTGGCACCACTGAGGCTAATCCCATTGTTCCTGTCGAGGCTTGTAATGAAAATATGATGGGTGCCCCCCATTCTACCAATGAGGAATTCAAGGTGATTGCATCTCCCACCTTCCATAAGGAAACCATGAGTGTTGCAGAGATAGTAGATGGTAATGAGCCAGCAGTAACAATAAAGCATGATTGAGAATGAGTAGTTAAAGAGTGTTTCCCAAGTTTAATTTACAATGCATGACTTCTTGTGCTGGTAACTTATGGTTGAAACACTAAGTAGCGAATAAGATTATGAAGACCAGTCCCAATGAATGCTAGTTTATCAGGTCCTTTAATAATGTTTTGTACTTCTAATACAGACATATATGAAGTTCGTATTCGATACATTTGTCGTATTTCAATCCACGGATTCAGACTCCTGATTTCGATTCTTTCTCAAACACATTGCAAATTCTAAACACAATATATATATGCTTTATTTTGTTAAATTTACTTAATTATTTTTCCTATTTGTTGTTGGATAATTATATGTGTTTTAGCATACAAAAAGCCATTCCTTTTTATAACCTATTAAACAAGTTATCCAAACAGGTCGAAGAAGAAAAAAAAAAGAAACACCAATTCTTTTTAGCCAAGAAGAAGCTATTTCAAGGGTTTGCAAACCTGGCATGGGCTAAAATTTAATTCATGCATTTGACTCTAAATTTGGCGCCTGTTCTTTGTTTATCTGTCTTCATTAAATCTCTTCACCTTCAGGGATTTAGTTTCCGTCTGGTTCCATTTCCCAGCTATGGGGAAGAAAAAAGAAACGAAGAACAAATCGAAAGATTCTGGCAGGGTTCAGGATCAAAACATGGCTAATGCATTTGAATATGAGATTGCCCTCCAAGTTCAAGAACCCAATGAGGAAACCTGTGAAGAACCTTCATCAGTTCCAGAAAATGGAAAGAATGTTTCAAAGGGAAAGAAGCTAAGTCAATATAAGGCCCTGGTCGAATTCAGGAGTCGAGTTGAAGAGTCGATTCTCGGGAATTATCTCTTGGGGAAACCTAGCAGCGAAGTTAGTCGAGAAGAAAACGCGGCAATTGAAGAACTGAAAGAGATTAAACTTTGGGGTGTGCCTTTGTTGCCAAGCAAACGCCATGAAGGAACAGATAGTGTTGTTGAAATTCTTGAAAGCCAAAGATTACAAGGTTAATGAGGCTTTCGAAATGCTTAGCGGGACGTTAAAATGGCGGAAGGAATTCAAAGTCGATGAAATCATCGAAGAAAACCTGGGTGATGATTTTGATAACCTAGGATATCTAAATAGCAGAGACAAGGAAGGTCACCCTCTGTATTACAACATGTATGCTGCCTTGAAAGACAATCAAATCCAAAATGAAATACGTGGAGAGTTCAATTCTTGGAGAAGGCTATCAAGGAACTCAAGTTTGAAGCCGGTGGAGCGAACTCCATTGTTCAGATCTTAGATTTGAAGCACTCATCGGGGCAGACCACAAAGGAACTTCGTTCTGTTTCTCGAAAATCTTGGAAGTTGTTACAAGATCCTTATTCCGAGTTCATCCATCGAAATGTAAGAGCAAAATATGTGTGTGTATAATCGATCAATATCATAACCATTGAGATGCTTGCAGATAATTATAAATGTTCCCTTGTGGTTTTATATATCCCATGTGTTTTCTTCACGGCTGAAAGCTCAAACTGAGAACGGTAGGGTTGTGATTGCCAGACCAGGGAAAGTTACCAGCACTCTTCTCAAGTAAGCAATGCCATAATAATTTACTCATGAATTCTAGTTTTTCCGATGTCAAATCTTCCATTGTCATCTTCTTGTTTCGAAACTAGATTTATACCTCCAGAAAACCTCCCGGTCGAATACGGAGGTCTCAAAAGAGAGAACGACGGAGAGTTTTCCACAGAAGACAAGGCTTTAGTTGTTAAGGCCAAAGCAAATACTACTGAGCACATCCAAATTCCAACCACTAAGGTACAAATATAGTAACCCGAAAAGACTATTCATCTTGTAAGAAAATAAGCAATGTACATATGTGATTATATCAGGCTGGAATGACAATGATTTGGGATTTAACGGTGGTGGGAGCATGGGACGTATCGTACAAGGAAGAGTTCATCCCGGACGATGAAGGATCTTACAGAGTGTTAATCCAAAACGAGAAGGATAAGAAGAAAGGAGGGAGTGTTAGGAATTCATTTTATATTAGTGAACCAGGGAAGATTGTTATTTCCATTGCTAACTTTTTGCTCAAGAAAAAGAAGATTCCTTATAGGTACAAAACCAAACCCACCTTTCCAGTGTACGCAATGATTAAAAAGTAGGAAGTAGTACATTTAACCTACCGTACAAAACAAGGGGGAAACCCCCTCATCCCATGTATTGCTTGTTTCTTTGTAATTCACTACAAGAATTTAGATGGTTTCAACAAAATTATTTACGACTAAAAGTATTAAATTTATCACGATATATTTATTCTGATTAATTTTATTTGTTGTCGTGTTTATTAGAATAATTTTTTCATGTAAAGTATATTGTGACAAAATTATATTCGTTACCATAGTATATTATTTTTTGTAATAATAAAATTTCATTAATATAATTAACTTATTGCAATAAAATATTTGTCACAATCAATTAACCATTTCGTCACGAGAAATAAATTGTCATAACTAACTTATATTTAAGCATCAAATATAAAGGGTTTTTGTGACGAAAATACATAAGGCAATAAAAATTATTTTGTCGTAATTGCTATTTCGTCACTAAATGTAACTTACAGAGATAAAATATTTGTTAAAATAAAATAATTATTTTATCACAAAAAGTAAATTTCGTCACAATTAAGTTAAATTATAACATCAAACAAAAAAACTTTTCGTGACAAAAAGACATATTACAACAAAATTTATTTTCTCACTACTTTTATTTCGTCAATAAATATTTTTTATAACTTTTTACTGTGACTAAATAATTTTGTTGCAATTTGTTATTATGAAAGAATATTATTTGTCACAATTTTTTATAATAAGAAATTAATATTTGTTATAAATTGTTATTTTAATTAAATAAATTTGTCACAATTTTTTATTTTGACAAAATATTCGGACGAAATAAATTTGACATAACTTTGTATTTAGGTGTGCATGAGGTTAGCCTAATTTATCATCAAACACAAAAACTATATCGTAATCATGTTTACTAAAATATTTCACAAATCCAATAAAGATTTATCAACCTTACTTGAATCGAATAAAATCAAACTCAAGTTTTAAAAACGAGGTCGAATTTCAAACCCAAATTTTTTATAATGGTAAACTCAAACGAACGTTTTACTATATCGAGAAAGATAAATAAATAAAGGCAGTAGCATCATAGTTGCATGCATATGAAACACCAAGCAGTTCAACATTGCAACGACTTCGAAAATAGAAAAATCTCAGGCATATTAATCCGTTGTTTACTAGCAAAAATCATCCAAATAACTTGTCCCTATAAATGTCAACCTCAAACAAAACGTTAATGATATTAACTAAAATAGTATCTGGTAACAACTTCCAAATTGACTAGCAAATATGCAAGAAATACATACATCCCTAGCACCAGAGCGGGATATATTTTCTGAGCCTGCTAAATCAACCAAATTCAGCTTCCCACACTTTATAAGCTCTTCACCTTCTGGCGTAGCTTCCTTGATATGAATTGTAATAGTAAAAAGAGAATGCAAAGATAGTACAGTTGAAACCTTATAAAACTTCATTCACAATGGGAACAACAGCTTGTTCCAATACATATCTTTTTGTTGTGTTGATGGCCCAAATACCTATTCAACATAAAAAACACAAAACAAATTCAACATTTACAGCAGCAAACAAATCAAATTTTACTATTAAATAATTAAACTTAACAGTCACAAAAAGAAAACCTTATCGAAAGTAAAAACTCGGTTTAGATGTTTTCTGGCGATGTTCTGAGAAACAGCGACTTCTCACAAAACGAGATAGGGTTGGCTTGGCCAGTAGAAGCACGTGGAACATATGCACCAGCACGGCATCTAGGTGAGCAGCATTTCCATTAAACTTTGTGAGGTTCCCCCAGGCTCTGCGAGACCTTATTCAAAGAAGGATTGGACTCCAAGTTCTCGTCCAAAGCCTGTGATGAGTGTGTCTAAAAGGCTCTTTATTTTGAACCGCTTTAAAGCGCTCGCAAGAGGTAGACGATCCCCTACTCCTGGCCGATAAGTTATATTTGGGCTTGGCCTTATGTATTTTTATGGGTTTGAATATCTACATTTATAGAATTCAGGGTTTGAATCCATAATTCAAAAATAAATAAACAAGGTAGATTACAATAATTACTGAATTTTTAATACAAGTCAAATGAGCTCAGTAGCTAAAGAATTGATATTATCAATTGATGTCGTAGGTTCGAGCACTGTGTATGTTAGGGGTTTGAGTGTTTATTATCAAATGATTAAGAGTTTTTAAATAGGTACTACCTTGTATTCATCCCAAATTTATTTAAAAAATTTAATTTTAAAAACATTTCATTTTGTCACTAAACTTATCATTAAATTTTCAAATATTTTCATCTATGATTTTTGTAGTTATTTTAAAAAAATCATTAAAAAATTACTAGTTTACTAATAGATAAATTTGGCATAAATTTTTCTTTTGACTAAATTTACTATGTTTAGTACATCTATTTCATATTTTCAATTGAATCAAAAGTAATAATTATATTTTATCATTATAATCAAAATGTATAACTACAAACATATATTTTTCATAAAAAACTAAAATCATTTATTAATTAAAAAATAAATTTTTTGTTGTTATAAATTTTCTATAACAATAACTATAAAACTTTTACTATACAACATTTTTGACACTAAAAAATAGGCAAAAATATTTCTGATAGTATAATTTTTCATAATGATTAAAATATGTAACTACAAAAATAATTTATTACAAAAAAACTTGAATTTTATTATCTGATGTGATAATATTTTTATAAGAAATTAAAAATTAGTTGACCCTTATTCCCATATATAATGGAGTAAGGGGGAGGTAGGATGGTAGGTTGCCCCCAACGTCAGATTGAGAGCAGCTAATTTTTATAACAATAACTATAAATTATAATTACAAAACTTATCAATATAACTTTTTGAAACAAAA